GTACAGAAAAAAAAAAACTTCATTATGTCTGATCATCCGGCTTGGTATTGTCCATTTTGATCTTTTTTAATTGTAAATTCCTATTTAATAGAAAATAGGCTATAAAGCAGTGTTTCCCAAACTTTTTTTCTGGGGACCCATATTTTAAAAGTCACAAACCTTCGCGACCCATGTCAATAGACATTCGTAAACATCTGTTGCAAGACAACCCAAAAATTGCGATCCAACTGGGGGTCGCGACCCAGTCTTTGGGAAACAATGCTATAAAGAATGAGATGGGGAGATAAAAATGAAAGGATTATCAAAATCACAAATCTCCGGGCTTCAAACTGGACTTCGTTTGTAAAACAAGTGTGACTGAAATAATTTTTCATATACAGCTGATGTTTAAAAGTTTAAAAGTAAAGCTACTAACGGCAGGGTAGAACCAGTGAGTCAGAGTGGATTACAATGAACCACTGCTCTGAGTCTCTGTGAGGACTTTGTCCTCAGTGTTTCACTCCAGGGAATCTCAGATTAACACACTTTCCATCTGTTTATTGACTGTAATAAGGAAAACACTGAGAATATAAATCCCAGACTGGCGATCAGCCAACAACTGTGAACCTCACACCAACACCTCATGCTCCAGCTGATACTCAGGCACCTGGTACAAACAGTACAGTCAGTCTTGTAGGAGTACAACCTGAGGAGGGAGTTGTTTTTTTTCTCCCGCCAATGATAAATAAGGCTCAGCGACCTAAGATGACGACCTCTCACCTGTTTACCTCTCAGTGCCTGGGGCCAGTGAACGTGGATTATACATAGAAAAATTCAAGAGATTGAAACATGTAACCCTTAATAGTCCTACTGCTGTTTGAGTGAGTGTTAATGTCTTAATTTAGTATTTAAAATGTTATGTTTATGTACTAAAAGTTCTGAAGTCTCTATGAGTTTTGACTTATTGAGAGTCTACCCATCGCTCTGTCTGCAGGAAAATGAAAAAAAAAGTTGAAACATTCAGTTTGTGGTTTTCAGAATAAAACCTATTAATAAATTGCTCCTGTCGTAGCACCTGCTAAACACGAGACATCCTAAATAATCTGAAACAGAAAACAGTTCTTCAAAAGACTTTCACATTGTTTCCCAATTTCACATTAATTGTGGAATGAATACTGGTGGTTAAAAATACCACAAAGATTTTTTTTACTCACTCATGTACATTTTGAAGATGCTAACTACTTTGACCCCATTAGTCCAGGGGCGTCAAACATATGGCCTGTGGGCCAAAACCGACCCGCTACGGTGTTCAATATGGCCCGTTTGATGAATTTTGAAAGTGAAAAGAATTCACAGACACTACATATCAGAGATGTTTTGTCAAATGATATTTCCTTAAATACTAATATTTTCCAATAAACGTGTGCTTATTTGCATGAAAACAAAGGAGAAAAACATGGACTTTTGTTATTTACAGGTAATTACAGGTAAATCATGTTGTTTGTGGCCCCTTAACCAAAATTAGTTTGACACCCCTGACAAGAAAATGCTTCACACAACACTACAGTACAATAACTCATATTTATGTCACTTCTGTTGTCTGCATTCAAAGCTGCGGCTGCTGTACGAGTGCAACCCCATCGCCTTCCTCATCGAACAGGCAGGGGGCCTCGCCACCACCGGCACTCAGAGGATACTAGACGTCCAGCCCGAGGCCCTGCACCAGCGTGTGCCGTTTGTCGCCGGCTCCTCTGATGATGTCAATGAGTATCTGTCTTTTGTCAAAAAGTTCTCGTAAAAAAACCACAAAAGTTTTCGCCTGGTCTGCTTCCTCTAACACAATATTAACTTAGCTCCACAGATGTCATTTTGCAGGACTTGTAACACAGTTCAAATAGGAAACAACTTTAAGTAGCCAAAGTTAAAATAATATTTTAATTTAAAAGCAATGGTGTCATCATACATGTTAGTATACTGGGTCAACAGAAATCCCAATTTAATAAAAAAAATAATGGGATCTAGGATAGCGCCCTGGGGGGTCTCACATGAAAGATATTCAGATAGTCTGACCTAATCCACCCTAAGTCTTAAAAACAAGGCAGTCGTCAGTGTGACCAGAGTCAACAGTGAAGAGAAGTTTTGAATTCTGTTACTATGCAGTGTTCAGTCACATATATAAGACACCTACTGTAAATAATTTAAAGATGGATTTTCCTTTTGTTGACAAGCTCAACATGTTGAGCACAATTGTTTGTTGGCAACTTCTTGGAGTTCATGTTTTTGCAATATGAGCACAAAAGTTAACCGCAACATAAATAAAACAATTAGAAGAAGTAAACAAAAGAAAAACAAGAGATCTGTAACTTCTTTCCCACCCTCTTTTTTGTTCTGTATTTCATAACTGTCTGGTTTTACTGTGGTCTATTCAGGTCACACAGCAGCTGCTCGGGGTGTCACTCTGTCATGACATTGCTTGGTGCTGTGATCTGGGTCAATCAGAGACCCGGCTTGGTATTCACAAAACAAACATATTTGACAGCATTATGCAGCAGTTACTACATGTCATCAATGTACTTAGAAGTTAAAGTAGATTATTTTGTAAAACATTTGTTTGAAATTAATCAGGTCATGTTTATGGAGAAACACAACTGAAAGGTCGCTCAAGGTCACGACTGGCCTTCATTAAAGGGGCCACACTGTTGTGAAACAATGCTACAATAATGTAGAACATAACTGGACCGGACATCAGTAAGAAGTTGTTTGTTTTTTTTGACAAGAGATCATGGACTGGTCCATTCATATCAATCCCATCCAGTAGATTTTGAGTTAGGGCATTTCTAATAAACTGCATCTATAAAAATGAGTTATAGTGATATTGACGATTGAATAATAGCACTAATCAGTAAATGCTGTCATAAGTGGAAAGTAACACATTTGCAAGCTAAGGTGTTTCACATGAAGTTGAACTCTATACAACTCTATTTACAACTATATACAAAGACATGCTGAGTGTTGAGGTGGTATTTTAAGACTGAGGCGCATCTGTGAAATTAAAACTCTCCTGTAATTTCTGTTAATTACAATGTGTATCCTTCATTATCATGAAGAAACATTTACCAATTTTCCCAAAGGATTCTGTCATTTTAGAATAATAGGCTAAAACCATTAAATAAAACCAAAACAAACCAATATAACCAGGCAGCAGTCATATTGTATTTAAGGAACAGAGGAGCCAGACACCAGATTAGTGTTTCATAAATGTATTTGATCACAGTAAAAATAGAAAAAAAAAACATTTACAATAACAGAAGCAAGTGTAAATGCTTCATTTACCAAGAGGCAAACACATATTTACAAAGAAAACACAAATAAAGTGGCATTAAATCAGCCAAACATAATAATGCGCCTTTTCCCTAAAATCTGCGTTTCTTCTCATGAAACTTGGACAACTTTCCTGTCATCCTCTTGTTCGGACTGAATCCTCTTCCTGTCTTCAGCCAAACCATTGCAATAAAAAACACTACGGTAATAAAACGTGAAACGGTGCAGACATTACACCAGTGGATAACTGGCTGCTGTTGCAATTCCACAGTGGTTCTTTCTGTCTTTGGCCATGTAGATGTAGCCTTTGTCTCCCCACTTCTCACTCCAGCTGCAGGACGAAAAACAAACGTTTAAAAGGAGTGTTAACACATTTGGTTTAATCCTTGTTCAATGAACGTCTTCAGATAATCAGACAGAGAGAAAGTCAAACTAAACCATCACTGAACACAGCAGCCATCATAAGAACTATTGATTAAAATAATGTCTCTTAGTTCGAGAGCTCCACAACAACAACAAAAAAACAAAACAAAAAAAAAGGACCTTTGTCTAAGAAATTGAAAACACAAAAAGCTTCTAAAATAAATTAGAATATAATTTAAAGGCTGCCACAGGAGGTGCCAATAAGAATGTGGTTCTTCTGGGGTTTGGACCCAGGAACTTCCAGGATGTAAGGCAGATGTAATAACCACAAAAACCAATACAAGCTATGACCTCAATCACCTTTTACCACAGTAACAACTTAAAAAGTGAATTGAAAAAGACACTTTCAAAATAAAAGTCTCCAACAGCTACTAAACCTACCTACCTCGTTGAAGTGTGAACCCTTCCTGTTAATTAATTAGATGAAGCTGCTTTTTTAAGCTGAGATTCAATGCTCGGTCTAAAACTGACCTGTTTTTCACAATCCAGTATTTTTTGCCGTCAACATCCTCTCCCTCAAAGCCGTAACCGACCGCCAGCACACCATGGTCCAGCTCTTCAGAGCTGCACTCCTTCTCGTAGTAGATTCCTGTAATATCACAAACACTGAAGTTAAGTTTGTGCTGATGCAAGAGTTATGCAGGCGACTTTGTTTGAAGACCAACTGGACCGTGAGCTGACCTGACTGGTAGAACTGGAAGGACTCGTGTCCAGCATCGATGGCGACAGACACGGGGCCGACACTGGCCACGGCCTTCATCAGGGCATGTTCCTTTCCACTGGGAATGTCTACGAAGCCGGTGTCGTTGACGGAGTTGTACTTGGGGTCGTAGTGACATGGCTGGTCATCCTGGAACAAAGACAGTTTGTCGAGCGGTAGAACAACGACACAATCTTCAAGTCTTCGCCAAGACGAATGACCAACAGACACGTACTGTTCCCAGGTATGGGTAGGAGTCCTCAGAGTCTAGACCCTGGTTGTCCTTGACGTACTGGAAGGCCTGGTCCATCAGACCTCCCCCACAGCCCTCGTTACCCTCTGGTCTGGAGCAGTCCACCAGGTTCTGTTCACTCAGCGACACCAGTTTTCCCATCTTCCTGAAGTTCTGACCCTCTAGAGCTCCAGTAGTGCTGAAGGCCCAGCAAGAGCCGCACTGACCCTGGTAGAGAGAGAGAGAGAGAGAGAGACAGAGATGATGGAACAATGAGGTTCCATAAAAAAAACAAACAATGCACTTAATCTATTTAACCACAACAAGGATCATGTGTGCCGTAAGTCATTAAGACGGCCTCACATGTGCATCACGCCAGGTTTCTGCCTTTTGGTTAAACACAGTAAATCCACTGTTCTAAGTATGTTCTGTACTGAACAGATTAGATACAGTGCTGCATAAGTTTTTATTTTTAACTCTTTAAATCTACCAAAGTAGAGAGTACTGCTTTATTAGCATATTATGACATGCTCAAATTATCACTACAAGTACAATGCAACATGAACCGGTTTCTTTAAAGACACCAAGGTGTGTTTCACCATGTCACTGTAAAAGAATCTAAACAAATGGTTGACTGTAAACACCTCACTATAACATTCACTGCAGTAAAACTGGTTTACAGCCTGTTATCTATTCTAGTTCTAATGTATATGACAGTGTTGGCTCCACCCAGGTCGGCTGTTTTCCTGTGAAACAGGTTTCAGCTTACACACACACAGAGTCAGTTCATGATGGCTGGGTGAAGGAGCAAAGACAGTGAAAGGGGTGGGGGGTGGAGGAGGTTAAAAATAAGGAGGTTGAGCGAGTGTGAAGCAAACAGATAACAAAACAACCCCACAGCTCACGAACTTATCTCCCACTGACATCCAAAGGATCTGCCTTTCAGTCACGATGAATGAGTAACCAAGTTCGAGTCCTTACAGGAAATACCATAGCTACAGGAAGTGATTTAAAAAGAGATTTGAATCATCTTTTCCCCAGACTGAATAAATCTCATGGTAATTTAAAAAAAATCCCAACCAGATGTTTGTCTCTGGTTTGTCTCCAGATAAACCACATGACATGGAGGAACACTAAAGTCTTACCTGGTCCTTCACAGGGGTGACGTAGCCCTTCTCCCTCCAGTCCACAGCACTGGGGGCCACCATGAAGTTAGGCTCCATGAACAGGGAGCCAATAGCCTTCCTCTCTGTTTTGCGCTGGTAACCATTCATGATCTGCCTGAACTCTTCATGAGTCTGAGAGAAAAAAACCCCAAAATGCAGTCAAAAAAAGGGAACAAGGAAGTGGTTGGTGTTTTGATGCACATGCAGCCCTCTGTCTGGATTTTCTTTTTCCTTCTGCTTTGGAATTAACTTTTGAGTGATTAATACTATTAAAATTGAGAGGTTATGTATCAATGTTGGGAATAGTACAAATTTTGCTTCTGGTAAGAAGACGATATGGAGCCCAACCCCCGGGGCGGGGGTCGATTAGGGGCATTTCCAGGCTTGTTGCAAGACTTTTACCATGTGTCAGAGGGCAATATTAAAGCAGATTTACAAAGAAAAACCAAAAATATGGTATCAGTAAACTCATCACCTTAACACAGACATTCAAACAATTCGCAGTGTTTCACCTGTGACAGCCATTGCTGCTAAAACACCAAGACAATTTCAACATTCTGGATAAGAATGTTGGCAAACTTACTGTTTGCACTTGCTTCTGATATGTACTTCAACTCTGTACTGTGTAGACTATACTACTACTATAAAGTAAAAGTTCTGTACAGGAGTTACTGTCTCTACACGGTCATATGGAGCAGTTGGTTTTAAAATAACTTTTTTTTTACCATGTCTCCAAAGTGGTTCATGCCCAGACGGTAGGAGTGTTTGCCCATCGAGTGTTCCAGGTTGTGCAGCTCAATCTTGTTCAGGTTCTTTTCCCAGATCATCCTCCTCCAGCCTTCCTCTTTCTACACACAACAATCACAGATTAGACTAAATTCACCCACAGCTAGCAGGGATAAACGCTGTGTACAAATAAACATTTACTGCTGTTTACAGTTATATATATAGACTCACTTCGTGGTATTTTTTGCTGTGCCAGTTCTTCCACAGTTCCCAGTGGTCGCTGAGCCGTGCGTCCAGACTGGGCGCAGACAGGACAGCACTCACACCTAGTGCTAACAAAGCCAGAGGCAACATCGTCACTTCCTGCTGGGAAAAAAACAAGAAAGAACATGGAGTTTCTCAGTTACAGCAGACTGGAGCCGCGTCTCTGTACAATCATGTACACTGTGTAACAAAGCAAAGTCGATTTCCAGAAAAATAAAATCACGATCTCGTTTTGCTTAGTCACACTGAAATTGGACCCGATCCAATGCTGCAATACACGGACGGATCAGTCATTTCCCGACAAACTGGTCCAAATTAACAAAAATAACCGTCGTTACCACATGGAGACCAATAAACAAAATATTGGTCTTTTTTTTATCGTTTTACGTTACAAAAAAACCCTTGGATCTTGGCCAGATCCCAACAATGGACCGAGCCTGTTTTGTTCCCAGCACAGTCACGGGATCTCGGCTGGAGAGAAAAAAGAGGCCTACACACTGAAAGTGCAACCAGGAAAAGGAAAGAGGAAAATGAAATTAAAACTGAACCTTTTCCCGGTAGAGGCCGTTTGGTTTGATGTGCCTGTGACCGGAAATACTCTCCATAAAAAAAATCTAACGAAAAGGACTATAACAATAACAACAGTGTTTATCACAAACGGCGACGAAGGCGACCGAAAACACAAACACCAAGCAAAACACGCCCAGAACATATTCATATTTTCTACATGAATGACATTTAAGCTCAGAAACGAATTCAAATGTACAGTTTGAAGTAGACAGATTTATAAAAAAAACCGTTTAAACGTTTAAAACCACTATGACAAAAATGATGCGAAAACAATATCCTGTTAGGCGTCAATCAATATCTAACATTAATGTATTAACATCGATAAAAAGATGAAATATAGTTTAAAAATACAAATCTTACTGTTATCTCGTTGTAGCAGCAAACAGTAGACGGCGAATAAAAGCTTCTCAGGGCAGAGCAACACAAAGTTTATAAAGGCTGGAGTGTACGTTGGATAACATACTCTGATTGGTCAGACTCTTGTTGTTCCCATTACACCCCGCCCACAACTCCGCCCCTATGTGTGGCATCACCGCGAGGGCATGTGATTCCAAGCTTCCACCAGAGGCTTTTTTTTAATTATTATTATTGGAATGTCTTTGACTGGAGACCAGAATTTTTTTTTTTCAGTTTTTATTTTTCTATAATACTGTAAGTCACAACAGGTGAAAAACAAATTTTTCAAAGGAGTTATTTGAGGTCAAATCCCCTCCACAGATAACAATAATAGCTTTAACCTGTGACTTTATCAGTGAGAGCCAATGTGTTTATTGTCCAATCTATGGAAAAGTGGATATACACAGTGTCACGACTTCCTGGAACAAAGTCTGTGCTAATCGGTACCAACAGTCATGTGATTGATAAGATGGAGGAGGTGATCACATTTGTTTACAGCTTTTCACCTGTACACCTGTTGTTTTTCTGATATGAAGACATTATTATTTAAACATTTTTTTAAGTTTTCCATTATTTGCTGCTACAACATATCTTTACACCCAGTCATTCTTTTGAAGAGCATGAGGTTCATACGTGTAAGTGGCTACATTTCTTATGTTGTCATGACAACCACCCATTCACACTGTCATTCACACCTACAGTGTGGTCACCCTAGAGTGAATATTTAACTCAATAGTAAACCACCTGTAGGAAGACCCCCCAGCTACCAACAAGCAGTGACTTCTAAACTGTAAGGGACTGGTTACCAAACTGGGGGGAGGGGTCCTCCCATGGGGCAAGAAGCCATTGTCAGGGCCTGCAGCAAGGCAAATTTATTTTTATTTCAACATGATTTGTTTTAAATTGCCCTGCAGCAGGAAACTGCAAAGATTTTTAATTTAAAATAACTAGTAAACCATAACATGTAAAACACATAAATGAAACAAAATGTTGCGCTTTATTAGTTCATTCATTTTGATGGTCCACATCATCATCTTCAACATATATCAGCTGATGGTTCATCCATATGCCACTCATTTCATAAAGTTAATATTTAATACCAATAACTATGCTCCACTGAAGAGGACATCTGAACAGATGACAGTCACATGTCCCCGGTCCAACAATTTCTTTGTCATCCGTTCTTGTCTCCACAGTGACATGACATCATGCCTCCTCTAGGTAAAAAAATATTGTGGCCTGGGCAGAAAAAGCAGAGTGCATCCTCAGCAGCTGACCGCTGTGACTGTGTTTGTGTTGCTCAAACAGAGGGACGCGTGACCATGACTGGGTGGACACTTTCTGTATGTGAGTACACAGAGTCTCACATTAGATACTGAAAGAATATTCTAACGGTTCATGGCACAGCAGCTCATTATTTTCATTTATTTACATTAATTATTTATTGTTTGATATATGTATTGTATAAATATGTATTTGTATATATGTATGATTATGTATTGTTAAATATATATATATACATATATATATGTATATGTATATATATATATATATATACATATACATATATATATATATTTATGTATATATATATATATATATATATATATTAGTTGTCGTCTGGTGGTCCACTGTCACAAAGGTTAAAAAAAAAAAACGTGTTGACTTCTTGGCTGTGGGTCAATACCACTCAATGTGTCGGTCTCCTCCTTTCATAACTGCCTCAGTTTGTTACTCTCACAGTGAAGAGGTTTTACAACAACAAAGTCAAAAACAACCGGTTACGTCAGAACATTTTGTGAGAATAAACAAAAATGAAAAAACTCAGACCAGGCTGAAGACGTGCCGGGTCTTTTTGACCTTTGCCCTGTGTTGTGTTTGAACAACACTGCAATGTGTAGAGTGAATGTAGAGTGAAACCGGTCATAAAGGTAGATTATTATTATTATACAGTGGGAGTCAATGAGTCAATGAGTCTTTCTGCGGAAATGGAATCGCTGTATTTAGATGTATTTTAATTTTAAAAAAACAAACAATTTTGAGATCGGAATATCTTTATAAATCTATCTTTATAAATATAAAACATTTTACCATAAAACCTAACATGTCATGTTCAAATCTAACATGCTTTTTTTTTAAATTTGTTTTCTAAATGGGGATGGTGCCACTCCGAGGGTCTGCAGAACTGCTGCAGATAGGGCTTTTTTTCTTCTTTTTTTTTCTCAACACGGAAAAACTGTTTTTAACTTTGCTTTGATGAGAATAACAGCTTTTTATGAATTAAGAATTTAAATTAAAGTCTGTTGAGTTTTGTAGTGTTTTGAAGTGATGAATGTGAATGTTTCGTAGAAGGGGGGACAGAGGGCGGCTGCGGAAAAGATTTGTGAACTCCTGGGTTATATATTAATGTTGTTATTGTCAATGAGGCGACCTGTAAAAAAAAAATTTACGTCGTAAACCTTTGGATACATTTTTTCATTAAGGTAAATGAAATAAAGATATTATTTTTAAAAAAGTCAAAATTCCTTATTGTTGTGGCACATTCACAAAGTCTTTTTTTTTTTAAACATCACAGTTTTCCAAAACAATTCCATAAAGGTCGTGGAGGTCCAAACATCTCACCTCCATTAATCTCTGTTGGGTGACAGTTTGCACTGTCAGCTTTTGGGGCAAGTTAAGACATACCCCAGTGCTGATGAGCAGGCAGACAGGTCATGTGAGTGGGTGTGGGCGGAGAGTGAGCAGCCTCGCAACTGAAACTCCACAAAGAAGTCAGAGGAGTGGAAATAACAGGTAGGAATCTGTAGAAATCCTGGAGACAAACGACCCAGAGGCAAATGTCTGTGTCCTGTGGCTGGGTCCAGTGTCCTTATTTTTAAGAATGACAATTGGGACAAATGTATTAGGTCAAGAATTTATTAGAAAATGTTTTCCACGTTTAAGTACGAACAACCACGGCGTCACGAGACATGCTATGAGAATGTAACATAAATAAAAACATACGTGGACAAAATCTTAAAAAAATTTGTTAGGCAATTGGACGTGACATTTCTAAAAGAACTTTCTTTTTGCCTAACAAAACTTTTCAACCTTGACCATGACCTGGATGACTGAGAATCTTCATAGACATACGTGGACAAAGTGTGCAAAGTGTGGCTGAGATTCTCTGAGAGGAAATTTCACGCAGGAACGCTGCTGAGTATCTTGTCATTTCTACACAAACAGAGTGAGATCTCGCACACACTGTGAAAAAAAACAAAACAAAACAAAAAAACCAGACTCTCAGAGCGTTGTTGTTTTTGTAAGCATTTACAAAAGGTGTGGATTTTATCTTTTTTATGACAACAAATAAAGTGGAAACACCGACGTTCACGTCCCTTTGTGGGAGTGTTTTCAGCTTGTGTACTCTACAAGGCAATCACAGAATCACAGAGTGCGAGTGTGTTTCACACACACACACACACCATTGGCAACAACGATACAGCATCAACAAACACAGTGAAGCAACCAAAAAGACTTTTTCTTTTTAAGACAATTTTGAGATACACTGTTTTCTCGCACTCTTGATTTTTTTTTCTTCTGTTTAGTTTTGCAGTGATCTTAGGACAGTGTGAAGTACATTCATTTTGCCTTCTGGTTATAGCACAAAAAAAAAAGTTAAAGTGATCTGAAAATAATATAAAAAAGAAAATGACATCATTAACTCATGGTGTGGGATTATTTACATCACAGCTAGCGTTTGGCTAGTGTTTGTTGGCAAGTTGGAGCAAAGACAAAACCAGTGAGCGACAGAGAGAGTATTTTTATATAGTAGTTAAAGTACTGTGTTTTAATCTCTGCCGACACTTGGTAACACTGGAGGAAGAGGGGAATGACAGGAAATACTGCACTGAGCACACAGCTCCACTTTTGTGTTGAAAAAAAAAAACTAACAGCAACATCAGCAGTACAATACTCTCAAAGCTGGGAGAAAAACGTTAGCTGTGTTTCCAAATGGTCATAAATCACCAGCACTGGGTGAAAATGCTTTGGCATTTTTGTCAGAAAAAAAAAAAAAAGAAAAAAAACCCCCAACATATCGTTTATTGAAGCTACTGTTTTAGTTTTGCTGTTTCTTAAAAGACAAAGCGAAAGAAGATGTGACGCTACACAACGCTGACCAGCAAGATTGAGCGACACTGGATGAAGAATGCTGGAGTCAGACGCCACCGAGCAGCTGCGTCAATGCTGCGAAGCTTATGATGGTTATGACTTGAGGGGAAGCCGAAAAAGTGCAGGGTTAGGAGTGTGAACTGACGGCCTGGAGTTTGGTAAAAAAGGTTAGAAATCCTTCCAAATACAAAAGTCCAATGATCAGTAAATGATCTGGGAGCAGAGCAAGGCCATAGTCTGGATTCTCAGTTGGACCCTGGGATTTTAAAAAACACCAGAATTTATTTCAATCTTTTGTAAACTTTACAGCAGTTATATTTGGGACTAAAAACTGTTTAATGTAAAACAGCAACTGTTCCTTTAATGAAGAACACTTTTAAAGCCAGACCTTTATCTTACAGGCTCCTTTGTATCGTTGATACATTTGTTAGTTACAAAAAATGTCTGTTTGTTCACTCACTTATATTTGAGCTTAATTTTTAGTGAACTGATGAATTTTTAAAAATCTTTGATCAACTTATATTCTCCATTTACAAGGGCTCTTTTTAGGGCTCTAAATTTGAGTCATTTTGTACTTTTATTAACAGTAAACCAGAGCTAGAAAAATGTAAAGCAGACGAATATATTTATCACATTAATATCTTTGTCAAAATGTATACCAGTGTTTGAAAACTGAACTGTAATATTTCATAATCATTAGATTATTTCGTTCTTCTACAGTTTCCTCCTTTTGAGCCCCCCACATGGACATACTCACAGCCACTGTCTCAAAACACTTTTTGAAAACTGACAAACAACTGAAAATAATTTTCTTTGCTACACGGCCTTGTAACAGATCCACGCCCCCCCACTCTTTAAAAAGATAACAAACAAGCCTGTAAAATACAGTTTCATCAGAGTAACGGTTGCTGAGTCGAGTGATGGGCCGCAGCTGCACTGACGCCTCGGATGGAAATGAAAATCCTTCGTCCACGGAGCGTCCAGGAGATCAAACGCTGACACGGCAGAAATCCAAGGATCGGATTTTTATCCTTGTTTGGGTTTGGTTCTTATTTTAAAAGAGAAAATAAAATGAGCTGATCTTTTCTTTATTTAGGTTGAATTATTTTTTCTTTTTCTTTTTGAATTATCCACGTCAACAAGGCACAGTTGTTCAAGAACGACTTTTTTCGTTTGTGCTCTGCAGGGAGGTAGACGGCCTCAAAGGCACTCTGGGAAACTGTGACGATTCACTACTCATGCCACCGCGCCACCCTACGAGGGACAGAAGAAAGTTTTCCTCTCCTGTCCCTCGTAGGGCGGCCCAGCGGCATCGGTGGTGGAATGATAGACACATCCGTCCTTTCACCCCCCTCTGGGTAATACTAGAGATAATTAAGATGACTGGTTTCTGACTGTGACAGAATGAGACTGAGTGGGAATATTTGAAAAAGCAGCACGACAATATCAAGGTCAAGGGAAAAGCACACGTTTGTCTTCGGAGCTCAGGACGTTCAGTGTGGAGGGAGGGGTCGCCTGTCCAGATGTGCAGGACAGTCAGAGGACAGGTGGCTCAGACAACAACAACACTGTCTCACTAGCGCAGGTGTCAGGCAGAGACAAAGACAAAGAAGAACCCTGTTGGCCTCAGCGAGATATGAAAGAGCTGATGGAGTTGTACGACGTGCCCCCGTTGCAGGCGGAGGGGGGGTAACTGTTGGCGGCTGCGCCCAAACCCAGCGCTTCCATGCTGACCCTGAAAACAGGGGAGGCTTTGAGTAAAAAGTCAGCCACGTCCCTGCGGCCCAGCTCCCTCAGTTTGGACATCAGCACGCCCACCGTGCTCTCGGCGTGCTGGCTCCACTCCTGCAGCAAGGCCGCTGTGGGGCTGGGCTGCAGCGCGGCCTGCTGGGGGTCCAAGTCAGTGCAGTTTGAAGTCCCATTGCTGTGTTTGGCCACTAAATCGGTGAGTCCCAGGTTCATGGCCAGCAGACACCAATCTTTCCCCAGGGCGTCAGGTGGGTCCAACATGCGGCAGAGCTTCCTGCGGGCTAAGAGTGGGACGTCGGATATGTGGATGTCAGTACCCAGAATGCCCTGCTGGTAAACCTCAGCGCAGCCAAACGTCAGAATGCTGCTGAAGCTCTCTCTGTAGCCGCCCATGGTGTTGGTGAGAGAGGTCTCCCTCTGGATCTGGGCCCTAAAGAAATCTTTGGGTTGGTAGACCATGATGGGGGTGTGGTGCTGCCTCAGCTGCTGAGGACTTAGATAGTATTTGGCGGTGAGCAGTCCAGGAAGTGTGGAGGCCAGAAGGTTCTCTGTTATACTGCAGATGGTGTCCAGCAGGGTGTAGCACTTGGCCCGCTCTGGGTCGTGTCCTCGCACCTGGATCTCCATCCCCTGGCCGTGGTTGACCAGCAGGATGATGGCCTCCACCCCGGCCTGACTCACCTTGGCTCCGTTCATCCACAGGTGAATGTCTCCATCGCCGTCTTCGCCGCCGTCCTCCTCGGGCTTCTGCTGGTGGCTCCAGCGACACAGGTTCACCTGCAGCTTGTGAAACAGGCCGCAGGGAAAAGGCGTGAGGTGCTCCGCGGGGACGAGCCGCACGCCGCCAAAGATGGAGGCTTCCTCCTCGTCGTCATCGGTCCAGGAGTGGTTAAGGCCGTTCGTCTTGATGAGAGCGGGGACGTCCACCATCGAGGGGTTAGTGACATCACGGGCGCAGATGTCCATGGCGTCCAAAATCTGCAGCAGTTCGTCCACGTCGCTCTCAGGGGCCAGAGCCTGCACCTCTTCCAGCCTGTAGCGCCCCCTGTAGTGGTGGATGGCCTTAGGTGTCTCAACAGAGAGCAGTTTGCCAAGGATGTTGCTGCAGAGCCAACGAGGATCCAGTAGAACCACGTCCTGCACCGTCTCACTCTGCATGATGTTGATCTGAGGAAGAGAGGAAAAAATGACTCAGAATCAAATATGAGGAACAATATATATTACATTATCGTTACATACATCAAATACTGCACTCTAGTTCATAGAAAAACTCAATAAAAAAAGTCACACATACTGCTAATGTTAATTTGTGCCAAACATTCATAACAACACAGCACACCCTGGTGGTGGTTTTGTAAAAAATGCCAGACACTGAAGTAATGAGAGTTAGACATGAGACAAAAACCAAAAAATTAGAACCATTAAGAAGAACACATCCGTGAATTTTTCTATTATTATTATTAGTAAGTTGAAAGAAAATGTCCAAAACCTGGTGAAAAAAAAAATCGTGTTTAACGTTCAATTCTGAGGAAATGAAACCAGTATTCTGACTCTTTCTTCTGTTAGACAAAGTTGGTTTTTAACCCTAACCTTACACATACACATACACACAGTACATACAAATATTTTACAGCAGTGTTTCTCAAACGTTTTGTTCTGGGGATGGGGATCCCATGTTTTAAAATTCACAAACCTTCGCGACCCAAGTCAATAGACATTATTCTTAAACTCTTGGGAAACATGATGACATGACACATTTTTTTATATCGACCCACCAGAGGGTCGCAACCCAGTCTTTGGGAAACAATGCTATAGACCAGTGGCATGACAGTGTTATTTTCTGTCATGCCCTGCCTTGGGGACAGAAATGTTTTCACGCAATAACCTGATAACATGTATATTTTTATCTGTACAAACCACTGTATGAGTTGCTGCCACCTAGTGACTGGAGGCTTGTTATCATTCAAGCATTACAGCAGCGGTACACTGATGTCCATAAACTGACAAACATATGCGTCCATATGCGTGCCGTATTCCATTGGAAGCCCTTCACGCCCCCCGTGGGACCCCGCCCCACTATTTGAGAAGTACTGCTATAGAGAGACACCCACCTCCCCCATGCTGTGGAGCTGCAGGGCCAGTGTGCGCAGGTGGTCCTGGCTGACCAGAGGGTTGATGTGCTCCTGGACGTCATTCACAAACTGCTGCCATGATGTCAGCTGGTTGGGTCCACTCAGCTTCCTCCATGTTGGCAGTGTGGTCAGCAAACGCTCCGACAGCAGCGTCATGGGACTACAAGTCTGCAACGAGTAGATTCACTGTTTTAGCATGGTTTATTTACTGCACTGAGGCAGAAACAACAACAACAACAACATCAACAACAAGAACAACAACAACAATGCTCTGACTTTGGTCTCATTAATGTTTGTCAGTTTATCTGTCCAACAGTAACAGAGAGAATTTCAAGCGGAGCTCACAGAGAGGATGTTGGTGCGAAGCTCCTGTAGCTGAGTCCTCAGCAGCTTCATGTCTTTGGAGTTTGGCGCTCCGGCGTCCATCACAAATAACTTCTCACTAATCAGCAGGTCGTTCCCAAACCTGAGAATTCACAAGAAAATTAAAAAAAAACATTTTAATCTACAAGCTCCTTAAATACTTGTAAATAAATTAAGGAAAGATATGGTTTGGAATACGAACAGTTTTTGAAACTTAGCAAATATTTTCTCTCCTGCCTGATGTAAGATTAGTTATATCCTCGAGATACGAGCATAATACGTTTCAGGACTGAGCTTGTAATTTGTGAGGTGCTCGTATCTCAAATCATTTTTCCCCATAAGAAAGAACAGAAACAACTTAATTTAGCTTAAGTTTTTTTTTTTACTTTTCTATTTTTACTTTTTTCAATTTGTATTCTTTCTTTAGCAGCACCACACTCATATTTATCAACAATTTCCTGCTTTATTTCCATGGTCATCATGTGTTTCTTCCTCTCACCACCATCCTTACCACTCACTCTCTTAGGACTTATTATTATTATGAAGAATAATGCACAAAATAGAGAGAAAATCACCTAGATAACGCAAACACAAAACGGAAGACTCGCGGGAGATGAGTACGGCAGTTGACGGACACGTGAAGCGGCGTGGGCTGCTCTGAGTGCTCGACCACGTAGCGTCAGTGTCTGTATCTCGAGGCAAGAATTTGCTTGAAGTCTTGCTCATATCTTGAAATACTTGTATGTAATGCTCTAGTTTTCTTCCACACCTGTTTCTGACTTCCTTGAGCAGCACTTTCTCTTTGTCGTAGGCAAAGTCTCCAGAGAAAGATCTGGGAACATCAGCAAGGTCAGCGTGTGTGGCCACAAGGACGACCACAAGAGGGTGCTGCATGCGACCTCCGAAAACTGCAGAAACACACGAGCACACACAAATGTTGAGCGTGTCATTAACGACCACTGGTTCTGTCGGTGTGTGATCACACTCAGTCCTCACCGATGTTGTCTTGTGGCAGGGTGATAGCCTTCAGGAGGTTCAACCAGTAGGTGATGTGGCTCAGCTGGGTCTCGTACGGCTCCTCCAGGCTGAACAGAACCAGATGAATGGCTGTGAGGTCGTTGGCTGCAAAGTAGTCATAGGAGCAGTAGTAGACGGGGTTTCCCGAAAACTCCCAAACGATGAAGTCCCCCACACCTAAAAACAGAGAGAGAAAGA